GAAGGAGGAGGAGTGCGGACGAGTAGTGGTCCAAAAGCTTGAACAAAGCATGAATTGCCCAAAAAGCATGAATTACTTGTGATTCCGTAGAACTTCGTGGAAAGATTGGTACCGTACGGCACATTTTTGGTGGGACTTTGAGGTGTATTGTATTTTTTGATGCTCTTCCTGAGTTTCAGGTGAGAGAAATTCCTCCGCAGGGTGTCGATGCTCGAGCGCCGTGTTCCGCATGCCAATCCACCAGTGCAGAGCAGTGGGCTTGTCTCACATGTTACGCGGTTTGTGCCTTTCTTCGTTTGCTTGCTCGTTGGAAGTATTTTGAATTTTATCCAAATGAATAGCTACGAAGCAATATAACTGTTGCATCATGACCTCCTCCTAGGTAGATCGTGCATTGGCGAGTAAGCGGCCTGCGTAAGGCCGCCGTATCTGTACTGGAGGTAGTATTTTATCCGGCATCCTGCGCAGTGCCTGCCTGAAGGAGTAGTGGTTACTCCCGTCCAGTGTTATCGACCGACCCGTGTAAACCCGTGAAGTGCGCCGACCAGGAAGTACGAAAAACGAGGGCCTCGTGCCTGCCCCCAGTAATTGTCGACAAGCCGACTTGACGGGCCACAGTACCTGGTCAGTCGACTGAGGAGTCCGGACCCGGGGAATCCAAAATAGCCGTAAAAAATGAAGTGATTTTTATCATTTTATTCCATTTTATGTCATTTTTCATTTTATTCCACTTTTATTTTTTGTTGTAAAATTTTTTATTCCATTTTTTGTCACTAGTCGCAACATTCGCAAGAATACCATGGCTACCAGATTGCTGTTATTATTTCTTTTCGACTGACCGATGGAACCCTGGGCTTTCTGCATGGAAATTTTGCAAAAAATGAAAAATAAGGAACGAAAAATGAAAAAAGAAAAAAGTGGAAAATGAGAAAAAATAAAAGAAAAACTTTTTTTTTAACTTTTAACAAAATTTTTTAACAAAAAAAATTCTGACAAAATTTTCCAGTGGCATATTTGTTTGCAGGTTAACTGTGGCCGTTACGTTGGTGGACACGCAGTTCATCATCAGACTCGTACCGGTCATCCGATGGCACTCAGTTTCGCGGATCTCTCTGTCTGGTGCTACATGTGTGAATCATATGTCCACAATGAAATTCTTATTCCGGCCAAAAATGCAGCACATCGCTCCAAATTTGGTGTTCCGGATCCGCAACATGAGACATCCGCAGAAGACAGTCAGTAGTAACACAACTGATGATTCCTCCTTCCTCACTGCAGCGCCTAATATTTACATCCTCAAATATTTCGATGAATTTTTTTTTTTTGCCTAACTCTGTGCCGATATTAGTGGTAGCTAGCTTCTTGTATTCAGAAAAAAAAAACCTTGTATTAAATACAAAATGTATTAACACATCAAAAAAA